CCCATGGATGGAGCAAGAGAGAGAAGGGAAGGTGCTGCACACTTTAAACAACCACATCTGAGCACTCACTCACTATCACAAAGACAGTGCCAAGGGCAATGGTGCCATGGTCCAATCATCTCCTACCAAGCCCCACAACATTGGGGATTACAATTAGCTGTGAGATTTGGGTGGGTACACAGATTTAAATGATATTCAATACCAAATAATCATTGGTCTGATTCAAGTAAGTGGCTGCTAGTGGAATTTGGTGTGAAGTTACAATCATGCATTTCTATCGAGGTTTGAAGTGGTGATGGACACCAGCAAGCCTGCTTCGCTGGCCCTTCCCCACCTCCTGCACTAGCTAGAGGTACCTCCCTGGCTCCTCATGCAACACATGATGAGCCCTGGCCTTGCTTGGCAGGTAGTTACAAAGCTTCTCATGTGCTTGACTCACTTGCAAGCTTGCAGAGCCTTCAGTGTCATCTAGACCATTCTGTAAAGCTTTTGACTCCAGTGCCAGGCTGCATCTCCAACCCCTCTCTACTTGCCTCATTATTCTGTTACTGTCTTCTGACCCTTCCAGTCTCAGACACTAATTTCTGTTCTGTTTCACGTCTTTTACACCTTCCCTCTCGGTTTCCAACCTTGCCCCATCCAGTTATTCATGCTGGCCTGGTCCCTGCCACTTCCTTTGGCACTGTCTTTGCCATACAGTGAATCTCTCATTTCCAGCTTGGCATTCTCACCCCTTGTCACTTCACCCTCCACAGCACTGACCTTGATAGCAAGTACAAATTGCAGCGATTTCAGCAACCTTAAGGTTATGATACCATCAATCTTGCAAATGCCTGGCATTGTTCAAGGAAGTCTATAGGGAATTACAGAAATAAAGTCATGGATAAGGAAAATTATGGTGTGCTAGTGGAAGCAGTATCCAGTTATCAGTAGGTGCTAAAATAGCATTAGCTTTTATTTATCTTTATTTAGCATCTCTAATATTCAGGTTACCATAAAGAACATTCTGTCCCATAAGGAATTTGTAGAAGGAGTGAAAATGGATATAAATGAGAGGGACAATGAGTCACTCATCTATTGATTGAATAATTATTTATGAGTACTGATTATATTTTGAGGCTGAAGATTACAGAGAGGAAATGTTTTCATGTGAGGCTTCATGGAGCTTGTAATCAGTTGGAAGCAGTATCAACAAACAATAATAATGCTGGAAGTTCTTTGCATCTGGAAACACTATAAGCACTGGAGAAAGCACTCACATGACCTTGTTAAAATAAAAAATCCCAGAGACTGGGCAACAGGTGCCTCAGAACAGGACTCAGAGATGGTTACCATGGGCCAGAGCAGAAGTATCCATTTGTGCCCCACTCACTGACAGCCTTTAAGCCCACATCCCATTGAGCGTGTTTACTTATAAATTCCATCCATGTACTGCTGTATTTATATACTGCGTACATTATAAAATATAAGCGAAATCAATATTAAAAGGATAACGTTTTTAAAATAAATAAAAACAGAAGTGCTAATATCACCTGCCTGAGCCCCACGGATCACCCTCGGCACCCCCAGAGCACACACCCCCTACTTTGGTACTGTCAGGCTAATCCAGAGTGGAGTCCTCACTGTTGCTGCTGAAGAATCTGGATTTAATAAACTCATCCAGAGATTTGAGATAACTCACAATTGACAACTCTGAAGGCCTCGTGTGATAATCCAGATGTTTCCAGGATAGTGGGAAAAACCGTTTGTACCAGGCATGACTTCCCTGTGAATGAGTCTATTCAAGAGATCAAATTAGATTGAAGTTGCTTAGTGAGCATGGAATTAGGATAAATGGAATTGTGGTCTATAGAGATATTTCATCACACTTGAATAACTGATGAAACTACCTTTCTCCTCTCTGCAGATATTTCTGTCTGAATAACCAGTGCCAGGCCTTAAATAAATACTGACATGTTTTACTTTTAGCTTTCCTTTTTCTAGAATCATTTTAGGCAACTGCCCTTCTGTTAATACATCACCACCTCAGAAAATAAGAAGGTCCTTGATTGGATTGAAATTTTAAAATGTTAATTGCATTCATGTCCTGGGGATACAGCCTAAAGAGGCAGAATTGCTTTGCTTAAGGCTGAAGTCTGACTGGGGACTTTGATCTCTGCAGGCTCTGGGGTCCTTAAAGGGCTCTCACCCAATTAGGATGAGCTGAATCCTTCTGGCCCTGGGCCTCATCTTCATTCCCTCCCAGCTTCAGAACTCTCTGATGAGCAAGACAAGAGGGTTGATTTAGGCTTTCTCACAGAGGTGCGCCTGAATGCCTCTTGCTGTGTAGTAAGCCAGATGTTGAGGGGGCAGGAAGGCTCACCCTGGATAAATAGCAACTTCAACTTTGTAAAGCACCTTTCTGTTCCTGTAACCAGTAGCCTACACTATATCATACAATATTCTCTTCCCCAAGAAGAAAGTAGCCTATTTACCTATTTTCTGCTACTGAAATCTATGATTTTATGATTTTTTAAAAAATAGAGACCAGGTATGGTGGCTCACACCTATAATCCCAGCACTTTGGGAGGCGAAGGCAGGTGGATCACCTGAGATCAGGAGTTTGAGACCAGCCTGACCAATATAGTGAAACCCCATCTCTACTGAAAATATAAAAATTAGCCAGGCATAGTGGCATGGGCCTGTAATACCAACTACTCAGGAGGCTGAGGCAGGAGAATTGCTTGAATCTGAGAGGTGGAGGTTGCAGTTAGCCCAGATTGTGCCACTGCATCCAGCCTGGGCGACACAGAAAGACTCTGTCTCAAAACTAAAAATTTAATTTAAAAAAAAAAAAAAAGCTTAAGACTCTACTAAGAACAGGAACACATTAAGAACAGTAGATATTCCCAGCAGTCCCACCACCACTGTTTTTACCTTAATTAAGGTATTTACTCTTGTGGGGAGGAAGGCAGCAAATCACACTGCCATGTGTGTACCTATGCAACAATCTTGCATGTTCTTCACATGTACCCCCAAACCTAAAATGCAATAAAAAAAGAAAGTGAATTTAAAACAAAGAAGCAAAAGGAATAAAAAGATATTTACAAACATATTTTACATCAGTTTACTGGTTATGTATTGCCTGCTACAGTAATTAATACGGAGGCCATGGGCTGAGACAACTTCAGAGGCCTGGAACCTAGGCGAGCAAGACAAAACCCTCTTCAGTGTAGATACTGAAACAAAACTAAGCTTATCAGCAATCAGAAACCATTGTTTAACCTCTAACTAAAGACTTTCCACATTAACCAATCAAATTGCTTCTTTGTCTTGCGTCCACAAACACATTCCTCTCTCTCCCACCCTGCACCCCAGAAGATGACTTGTATTTTGATGCTGCCCAATTCAGGCATCACTGAATGTCTAAATAAACATGTTAAGATTTTAATTGCCTACGTTTATCTTTTAACATGCCTGAGAACTTATCTAAATGTTGCTATATGGTAGCCGTTTCTAAAAACAAAAACAAACAGCGTTAATTGAATAAGACCATATTTTAATATTTCATAATTTAAAACTATGACTTAAGCATGGCAGAACCAACACAAAGTAACTTTTATTTAAAAATAGCTCAGTTTAATATTGTGTATGTGTATAATTTGCATAAAAGGAAGGAAAATGTCATTTGTGTATGAATAGAAACTAATGGAATGCACTTAGTTGATTCATTGTGCCTTTTGGAGAAAAGAAATAGCAAATATCATTGTTTTTATAAAGCATACATTTGGGGTTTAGTATTAGAGCTAAAGGCTTCAGTAACTGCTTTAAATCACACCCATATATTTTAGTCTTTAGCTGTGATGGTAAATGTACTCAGAAATGTGCACATTAAAAAGTCATTTCTCCCCTGAAGATGAAGTTGGAAGCCAACTTTTGATCCCATATTAAATTCGTGGTCCATCTGTCCTAATGGAACCTGAGTAACAAACACAGCTTAGTGTTTTTATTTCATCCTATGAGCTGCTTTTCTCCTGGAAACACTGGCTACTCTGTCAGGCAGTCAGCGGGGAGAGGCAGCTGGTACAGTCACATCTTCTCCAAGAGCTCAAGGGTAGAGGCTGGTTGAGAGACGTTTTGCGGGCTCACTGCCTCACCCCCACACCACACAACAACCCCACAGGTCAGAGCCTCACCCGCAGTCCCCAGGAGGAAGTGGTAAGGGAAGAGAAGGTAAACTCACCTTTGAGAGTTTGGCGCAGGAGAGGTAAGGAAACTGCCCTAGCCTGGCCTGATCACTTCTCATTCCCAGCTCCTCACCTCTTCCAGGCTCCTTCAGTCGTGTTCCTGAAGCACCAGTATGGTGTCTGGGTGGCCATTAGCGCAGGAGTGGGAACTACTGGTTCTTCCAAGGCAGAGGTGGATGAAAAGCGAGAGCAGAATACCAAAAGCTTCATTCTCGTTGTTTTCCTGAGCTCTGTCTGAGATGCTGCTTGTGCCATACCAAAGCCCCCAGTACTTACTTATGCAGGAGCTCAAAACAGCCCCCACCAACCCACACAGTAACCCCAGGGGCTTCTCCCAATTCTTATATCTATTGGCATTTACTTCTTAGAGTCCCTTAGGACTCTTTGGTAGGAACTCCGACTATATCAATCTTCGTTGTTATGTAATTATTGTATTGTTATGTATTTATGTAAATAAAATATTTATTGTGAATATAAAATATTTTATTGTTATACAATTTATATAAATTCGAGTAACCTTTAATTTTATATAGATGATATATATTAATATTTTAAATATTTTTATACATAAATGACCATTATGTAGACACACATACAACTTTTGGCAAGTCAGAAATGTATTTATGGGGATTCGGTCCAGTGCTGTTAAACAGGATTAGAGGAAATAACTACTATTGCTAATGGTGCTTATTAAATTCAAGAAATGGGTCTCCGTCACATGACTCGGCTGATCAGGGTGTGAGTTAATCTGATGTTTCTGTTCTCTTCCCGCAGGGAATTACTGGAATGCCGCCTCTTTCCCAAACCCATCCTCCTACCTGCACTTCTCCACTTTCCAAGGGGAAACAAGCGCTGACATTTCTTTCTACTTCAAAACATTAACCCCCTGGGGAGTGTTTCTTGAAAATATGGGAAAGGAAGATTTCATCAAGCTGGAGCTGAAGTGTGAGTATAAGTTTCTTGTCAACTCATGGGGAGACACCTTGGCCACCTCAGGGTGGTCCGGGCCCTGCTCTTGGAAGTCCTTTTGAATCAAACATGGAAGATCTCCTTTGTTCCAGGAGCAGCACTAGAGGGGGACATGCAAGCCTGAGTTTCAACTCCAACCTCAGTCCCTGTCCTTGGGATGCTCTCAGAGAAGCAGGCACATCCAGATTCCCAAGCAGTCATTCAAGAAGATGAGAGGTGCCCTCAGAATGAGGGGGAGGAATGTTGATTTGAGGCTTCATGTTTTACATAGCTGTTTTCCAAAGAGATGGGGTCAAAGGTAGATGAGAAGTGGGTGCACTGACCTGAGGAGCGGAGAGTGAGGGAAATCGTGCCAAGAAAGACAGGAATGATGAATAGTGACACCCGCGTGAGCTCAGGAGGCTGCGGAGACCACAGGACTGGGTGATTCCATGACACAGTCTGTGGGTTTCCTAAAGAGGACCCTCACCTGCACACGCTCTAAAAGTGACTTCTCGATGTAATGGAGTTAGCCAAAGTTAGAGAGATGAAAAGAGGCAGAGCAAGAGAGGACGCTGCTTAGCTCAGCACAGCCAGGCTTGGAGCAAACACCCTAAGGGGGCATCCAGGCTTAAGGAGCTCCGTCGGTGGAAGGTGGGGGTTCCCTGCACAAGACTTGAGAAGCACAATGCTTGCCCTACCTAGACGCTTTAATCATCAAGACCCCAATTCAGCTTTAGGAAGTTACAGTCCCCTGACTTCCAAGCTAGTTGATTATTTGCAAATGTTGAACTCCATTGGCTGTGAGAGTCAGGGAGACCACAGACCAACCCCTGTCCTTTTGCAAAATCTCAGCCTTACGCTCAACATATCAAAATGTCTCCCTTCCCCAAGTCTGTCCTCTTTAACTGAGTGTGTCTGCTCCTGGATCTGGTTTGAGAATGATCCCAAATCCATTTCCCATTTCTGCTGAAATTCTATCGGACTCACAGTAGCATTCTCAGGTTCAATTCCAAACCATCAGGTAAATTGCTTAATCTCTTTGAATCCTAATTTTCTTATTTATAAAAAGAAAATGTTCATTTGTGGGGTTGTGATGAGAATAGAATTTAGATATTCATAAAGCATTTATTTCAGTGTCTAGTAATTATTTTAATTATCATCTTCCGAGGATGCTCAATGCAAATCTGATCTGAGCCAGGTCTGATTGAAAGGGAGACTGAGGCTATCCTGGTCCTAGAATTAAAATTAATTAATTAATTAAAATCCGCCCTTTACCGAATTATGGATAAGAATAATTGGAACGTCTCGCTTCCCTTAGTTAAAATTAACTGAATCAAACTATGTTCTGATTTCTACGTAAGTTCAAGCAAATTTTAGAAAGATTTTATGGCCACAAAAGAAAACTGCCAGTTCTATATTTGAGTGGTTCTGTAAGTTTCTATAAAAGTGCTTGGATTCCCCCATTTCATTTTGTGTCCTCATGTTTTATAAAGCCACGCCTGGGTGGGAAGGAACGCAAACCCGATAGAGGGAGAGCAGGTGTTACCACTCAGCCCTCAGTGTCAAAGAATTTCTTCTTCTTTTTTCTTTTTTCTTTCTTTCTTTTTTTTTTTTTTTTTTTTTTGAGATAGAGTCTCACTCTGTCACCCAGGCTGGAGTGCAGTAGCGCAATAACGGCTCACTGCAGCCTCAAACTCCCAGGCTCAGTTTATCCTCCCACTCTCCCACTCAGCCTCCCAAGTAGCTGGGACTACAGGTGCATTGCACCGCACTTGGCTAATTTTTGTGGTTTTTGCAGACGTCCAGTCTTGCCGTGTCAGCCAGGCTGATTCAAACCCCTGGGCTCAGGCGATGCACCCACCTTGACCTCCCAAAGTGCCGGGATTACAGGTGTGAGCCAATGTGCCTGGCCACTAATTTCTAATTATGAAAAAGCTTTAGAGCTGTCTTCAGAGTTTTCTAGGTCTTTCCACAATATAAAAACCAGGTGGCACAGAGTGAATTACAGCCTCCTTTGTCATATACCTTACTTTCATCATATCCTTTACTCTGGACAAAAACATGTGAAATGTTGAAGACACAGATTGAAGCCTCTGATCTTTCCTCAGAGCCCCCTGTACCTACTAATAACCAGAGACAGTGGAAAGACCTTTTTAAGATCCCCAATATGGCAGGTATTCAATGCCCATCATTACATAGCATCTCCATTAGGGTTCAAAGGAGCCTCATGGAAAGGGAAGCAGACATCTGTATTGAAGAAAAACTACAAAATAAACAGGAAGTGATGTTTTCATAAAGAATATGAAGGAAAAAACAGCCATGATGGAGGCTTGTTGCTGTCTCACTGATCACACTTTATCAGCCAGACCCTTCACGGTCAGGACTCCTGGGGCACTGGGTAGAGAATTCTCTCAGGCTCCTTTCCCTGTGCTGAGGAATCACTCTGCAAACCTAATTGTTTTCACAGCAGTGGCAGCTATCAGAGGGGCCTCAGGAAATGTTGATTCTGAAGTTAAACTCTTTAGAACTGTCTCTGTGTTTTTCCCTTTTAGCTTGTTAGGCCTTCTGATCTCTTTCTGATAGGAATTCACATTTTGTTTCTGAGTGTGTCTCAAAGGAATTTTGTCACAGTTCATGACTACATATTGCTTTCCAGAATAACAGTTCTGTTAATTAATTACATTGTGCCCTTCTGTCAAGAGTGGAAGATTCTTGACTCAGAAAACAGTGAGGCAGTGTACGATAAGTTAATGAGATACCATCAGCATCTTACGCACAAGTAGAAAAACACAGAGATTAAACTAGGGCAATCTCACTCATTAGCATGCTCTAATGGTAACATTTTAACCCTATCCTTCATGTATTTGCTATTTGTATTTATTCATTCATTCAATGATGAGCCGATTTATATTTACTGAGTAGCTACTATGTCCCGGGTACAGTGCTAGTGCTGAGGGAATTTAGTCAAATCGAGTGTGATTTCTTTCCCTCAAAGATCTTTCTGCTTGTTTTAGAAAGCAGGCGAGTAATTCAGGAGTTATGATAATAACAAAAATAGCTCAGCTTCATTCAGACTTTCAGGCCTCATTCCAGGCATTTTATATGAATCACCTCACGCTCCTAACCACCCTCTGAAGTGCATACTACCATTCACAGCTCCATGTTACAAATGAGGAAACTGAGGCACAGGGTGAATAAGTTGCCTGGCCAAAACCATGCAGCGAGGAAGTGGCAGAGCTGGTGTTTGACCCCAAACATTTTGTGTCTGCCCCAGAGTCATCGCTGTTACTCTAAAAGCACACTGCCTCCCAGAACAGACATCAAGAAAGTGGCCGGGAGCACCAAGGGCAATATTTAAACCTGACTGGCCCGACAAGGAGCGCTTCCCAGGGACGGAATGCTTTAATTAAATTTTGATGGATATGTAGAAGGTCAGTAAGGTGAAGAAGGTGGGGGAAGAACAGGAGCCAGGGAAACAAAGAAGTTTCTGGATAACACAAAATGAACGAAGGTGTCGGGGACTGAACCTAAGGACCCAGTAGGGAACAGGTGCAGTGAGGAGGGACTGGGCTAGCAATAGTGAGGCGGGCAGGCATGAGCACACAGTGCACTCTGCCTGGAGGAGCAGCTGGCTCAACTTGAGCCTGTAGGCTATGGAGAGCCAAGGCGTAACTTGATCAGGTTCGCATTCACCAGAGAAAAGACTGGAAGCCAGACAAGTGGCTATGGGAGCCTGTGTTAAGACAGAGGCAGAATGCATAGAAAGAGAGGAAGACAGGGATGAAGCATTGTAGATATGAAAGATGCTTAAGAGATAGATTCCGCAGAATTTTGACAGATACTCGTGAGGGTTAGGTGGAAGGAAAGATCCTAGAATGAAGCCGATGTTTCTGGTTTTGATGTGTGAGTGGAGCACCTTTCATGAAGCAGTTTGACATTCAAAAGCAAAGTACAAATCGCTTTCTCGGTATTTTGATACTGAGTCTCTGAAGGCTGTAGGAGGATCTAATCAAGTGGACACATCTAGAGGATGCTGAATGGTCAAGTCTGGAACCCAGCAGAGGTCTCAGAAACTTGGCTTGGGGTCATCATCACTTAGAGGATCAGGAAATAAGCATTCATTGCCTTCAGCCTGGATGAGATTGCCCAAAACAAGTGTGTACAGAGCAGAAACAAGATGTGCAAGAAAGACAACCAGTTGGGAGCAGTGGCTGACACCTGTCATCCCAGCACGCTGGGAGGCTGAGGCAGGAGGATCACTTGAGTCCAAAAGTTCAAGACCAGCCTGGGCAACATGGTGAAACCCCATCTCTACAAAAATAAAAATAAAAAATTTGCCAGGCATGAAGGCCTGTGCCTATAGTCCCAGCTACTCAGGAGGCTGAGGCAGGAGAATCCCTTGAGCCCAAGAATTTGAAGTAGCAGTGAGCAGTGATCATACTACTGCACCCTCAGCCAGAGTAACAGAGTGAGACCCCATAGAAAGAAAGAAAGAAAAGAAAAGAGAAAGAAAAGGAAGGAAGGAAGGGAGGGAGGAAAGGAGGGAACCACATTCTTGTAGAAAACTAACAGAGAAGTAGCAAGACAGTGGTATCCCAGAAACCAAATGAAACAGACATTTCAAGAAGAGTGTTAGATATTATTGAGAGGTCACTAAAATAAGGGCATAAAGTGACCATCAGGTTTCATAGGTAGCGGTCACTGTTGAAAAGTCAGGTATCACTAGGGTGAGTGCAGAGGGGATTTGGAGATCAAGGGAGGCTGGTTTGGTTGTTCTTGTTTGAGGATGGTAGAGGCTTGAGCATACACATAGATGAAGGGGAAAAATATGGTCAAGAAGGGGGGGTTGGATATACGAAAGATAAAGGGACTGGCAGAAGGAGCAAGGTCCCATGGCCGTGAGTGTGAGGTAGACCCACAGCACCTCACGGGGCTGAGGGGAAGAGGTGGAAGTAAGGACAGTGTAAGCCACGCACTAGGAAGCGCCTTTCCAA